CTTTCGTGTTGATTGTTCGTCGTTTCACTAAGACCATGTTTAGTTTGAAGGAAAAGGTAGGGAAACCTTTACAAGCCTTGTATAGGTTCCCTATCTTTCCCTTCCTTTCCCTAGTTTTTCCTTCAAACCAAACATGGCCTAAAAGGCTGTGTTTGATTTGATAACAAGTAAGAGATAAAAAGAGTTTTTGAGAACGAACAAAAAAAACTTTCCCTATCAAACCAACCAAAGATACGGTAAGGGTGCACTAGATCTTTCCAGTTCTATACTACTTTATCTACAAACAAACTCTCGCCAAAAAAAATCTACAAACAAACAAACAAAATAAAACAAAACCCAAAACAAAAGAAAACAATGATTTGCAGTAAATTCCTCTGAAAGAGCGTTTTTCTTTTCTTTGTTGGCATGCAATTTAGGCATACTCTCTACATGCAAAACCCACGAGTATGCAGAATAAAACAGCAATCAGTTGGTGTTCTTGCAGTTAAACTTTCTGCAAAGCTAAAGGAAGAGACTCAACAGATTTGTCGTTCTTGATGTCACTAGAACAATTGCTGGTTGCGTTAGTGCGGCGATCACGGTAGATGAAGAAGAAGTAGAAGCTGGTGGCGCTGCTTGCCATTGCCAGCACAAGGATGATGAAGAAGGCTACTGGGAAGAGCAACGGAGCAAAATGAATGGCCAGTCCGACGTTGAGAGCTGTGGAGAGCACCCAAATCGCAACTTTTAAGCAGCTCTTCTTGGGGGATTCCTCATGGAGAGGCAAGCGATCGAAGGCCTTCAAACAGGCTAAAAGAGACATGAATCCAAAGTAGAGAAAAAGAACAAATCCAATCATGGAGAAATCCCGGTGGTTATAAGCACGGCAAACTGCAATGACACTGTTGAACGTCAAGAAAGCCAGAGAAAGAAAAGGCAATAGGTTTCTGTCTTCACATCTAGAGCAGTTGTGACTACCGATGGCTGTAACCGAAATTGATTGATGCTTGGTGCAGTTCATTTTGCAATCCATCTCTCTCTACGAATAATAATAAAGAATGAAGCTAACCAGAACCCAAACGAGAAGAACAGGAAACAAGAACGGCAGAACACAAAGGAAAAATCGTCAGCACGATGCCAAACTCGCCCAGCAAATTTGATATATATTCAAATCATCAGCGTTACTTCGCATGAGCCTTCGTCGCAGATATGAGAGAACCCACCAAACTTCAACGAACCTTCTTGCTTTTTTTCGCCACAATCCACGAACCTTCTCGTCTGAAATTCAGGCCCCCTTGTGGACCTCTTTACAATAAATGCACTTTAACCCCACATATACGGCCACTCTTTTACCGTATAAAGCAGGTTGTGGAGATCAACCCTAACCCAACCCCAGCTATGGAACCCCAATCCTGCAACCTAACCCTAATTCAACCCAAGTTTTCAAGTTGAGCTCGGGTTGGGTTCAGGTTTGCCTAACTTCTCTACTACTACCTTTTGCCACATGTTCTTATTTCTTATATTCTAAGGGTTGATGTAAATTCAGTTTCACATCATTATATGTAAAGGGGCATAGTTATTATGTTTTAAAGATTTTTTATTTCAAACTTAAAGTTGTATATATTTACATACGTATAAATAAATAAATACAGTGATGCAACATATATACATACATACATACATACATAATATATATACAAATATTTATATTTAGGCTCTGTTTGCTTTTTGATAAGTTACTTACCCAGGTAAATGCAATTATCTAGGTAAGTTTTTCCCACCCGGGTAAATTTATTTACCCATGTTCTTTTATTTCCTAGGTAAATAATGTAATGACCATTTTAGCCATAAAAATATATTTTTAAAAAAGGCATTTTTGTTCCATTCAAGTGTTAACAACTTTCCCCCTAGGTGGGAAAATTATTTATCCACCTTGGAGATGGGTATCACTTACCCGTGTAAGTAGTACCCAAAAAAATAAACTTTCCATGATCACCACATAAATCTGAAAAATGAACATGAGATTCTTGGTCAATGGGAACCAAAACCCATTGACCAACTTTATGATCTTTTCCCCCCTCTCAAAATCCAAAAATAGAAAACCCACTTAGGCTCCAATTGGAAGGAGTACAAATAGATAAAAAATAATACAAAATACAAGGTTTTGCAATCTACATATTTATATTTTGTATTCTTTCCAAACTGAGTCTTCTGTACTAATATACATAAATAAATTTTTATATAGTATTTATAATATAAATATGGAGCTACGTTATGTTTGAGTTGGCTCAGGTTGTCAAGGCCTCAATCCTAATCCTAACCCTAACCTTAACCAGAAATTAAAATCAACCCAACTTGAATTTTTTTTTTTGGATTGACTTCCAGCTAACCCGGCCCAAATTGCAGCCCTAAAAGAATAACATTCCATTGTAACTCTGGTTCATATCCGATCCCAAATATTTGATTAGATTCTGAACCGGAGATAAATAACCACAAATTTACTATCAAACTAAAATATAATGGAGTGGGAATAGATTCGCACACAGACTTCGAGTTCCTCTAAGATCATACCATTATCCAAAACCGTTTTTCCATATTCGGATTTGGATATGGTTTTGGTCGGATTTGTTCCCAATGCCATCCATTTCCCTGATTTTTGGCCTTTCGGCTCTAATTCTCACCTTGAGTCATGACAACCTTCCTTAAATTGAGCTATTAATTAATTTAATTTCTCCCTATTTAATTATGTATCCAAGTTTTAAATTCAAACTATATTCCCACCTATTATCAAATTTAAATTATTATTAAAAACTAAGGGAGTTTTCTACCAATTTGGATTTCAATGTGCGGCTATAATGATGCGTGGATAGGAGATAGGAACATATTTTCTACAGCATCAATGCTTTTTTTTTCTCATTTGTTTTTCATATTTCCCCACAGTCAAACAATTAAACTATTAAACTGTGTTTGTTTTGAAAGACAAAAGCAAGTTGGTTTTGTTTCAAAAAACAAGACATGTTTCATCCTTATAATGGAACTCTAATTTGAACACTCAATAACCATTTGGAGCATGACCTGTACATACAAGATGACCAACATAGCCAATTTGCAATGCTTTTAAGCACCCATCCTTACAGAAGAGATAGCAAGTAAGCCCATGCAATGCATGGGGTTAAATGGAAATTTGGTTAGGTTTGGATTGGTAAATTTAGGTTATGACATTAGTGTCCAAGCTAGGGTCCAAATTTAAGTTGGTCTTGGATTGGCCCTTTAACGTGGCTTAATTCATTTAATTTAATATTTTTTTTTTCTTAAGCTTTGATGTATCTACTTCATTAGAGAGAGCCCAAAGGGGTTAAAAGATTTAAGAGGAAAGGAAGAATTTAATGGGTTAGGGGAGATGCTACAAACATTGATTATTAGAGAGAGTAATAAAAGTGAAGAGAGTAATGATGCATTTTATTAGAGACAATTAAGATCTAAGAGTTTTATTTTGACTTCTTATTATATGTTTAATAATTTGAATTATACATATATATATATATATATATATATATATATATATATATATGTGTGTGTGTGTGTGTGTGTTCAAGTAATAAAAGAAAAAAAAACAGTTAGTAAAAAAAGTAAAAAGAAAAAACAAATAAAAAGAGCAACGTTGAAACATTGAAGATGAAGGGATTTCATACAACTTTTCTCATGTCAGCCAAACGTGACATTGATCATTTGATTGTAACTTTTTATTCAGATTCTCAGATATTCCCTTTGACCCTTCATCTCCTGCTTTTAATCTTCTTTGAACTATCACTCATAGAAGCAAAACATTTCTCAATCTACCATACAATCATCTGGTTATATTTTTCCTTCTTTCTATTTTATTTATTTCATCATTTATTGTGGTCTGGTTTAGCAGCTAGAGCTGCTGTACAAGAAGGGAAAAGAGGAGCTTTTAGGCTAAACCAAACACAGCCTTAAGTCTTAACTCATACCAACTGAAGAAGATTTTATCTTTCAAAGAAGATATTCAAATTTCCACCGGTGTCTTGTAGCATCAGTTAGCATAACCTCATTGTCACAGTGTTCCCAACTCTACTCTGAATGCTTGTTAAAATCCATGAAAGTTAAGGTATTCCAAGCCGAAATTACATTAACATTAATGAAACCCTGGTTGGGGTTTGGAAGATGTTCCAATGCTACTTATCAAAAAAAAAGATGTTGCAATGCTGTAGTTTTACATGAACCCGGAACCCCAGGTTGATGAGGTTTTCTTCAACTGGGAGAACGGGATCAGAGTAAAATCCATCCCCTGTTTTACATTCTCTTTTTTCAGAATGTTTCCTTTGCTCTTCTTGCCTTCATCCATTTTCTCTTCTACCCAACTCTATGTTCCAGTTTCTTTTTGGGCATAAGCAGGATTTCATGGCCACAGTGAAGCTAGAAAAACCCCAAGATAATGGCTATTAATGTGAACTAATTTAGCATTAATCAATAAGCAACATTCAATTTAATCAGATTTCTTTTTAACTGTAATATATTCAGGAATTAATTTGTATAGGTGCCTTTTAGGGAAAATAATTTCTCCATCAACCACATAAATGCAATTAAGTCAGAGGATTACATGTCTCATGTCAATGCTGATTAATAACCTGATAATGTTCTAAGTAGGGTCCAGTCCTTGTAGGGTTCCAATGTTCCAAAGTCCGAACATGGGATACCCAGAAGCTCTGGCCCCAATACGCCAAGCCAGCCTAAAACTCCTTACAATAGGCCAAACTAGCCTAATAAGTTGTTTTTCCCTACTCTTTAGCCTTTAATGGCCAACATGAGATAGCAGGGAAATCATAGGATTCAAAACTATAACCATTAGTTAATTCCCAATACTTCTCACGGTAGCACAGTCCATTGAAAATAATTTCAAATTTGTATAACTCTTTAAAACTGCATTTTAGATTTTTCACTAAGAAATCTACTTCATTGCAAATAGAACACATTCTAACAACAAAAAAAAAACACCATACCTTCCAGCATGTTTCATAGAGTGCCCAAACTGAGAAGAAAAGCTGATAGAGAAAGGTCTTCTATGATCCTCTAAACCATTCTTTCACCAGTCCAAGTGACTGCATGCAAGTAAGGTGAAAAAGTTATATACAAGCAAAACCATGAAGCAACACTGATAAATAAAATTGCCATTAACACAAAGAACTCACTGAGAGACCGTTTTGAATCATGGTAACTTACAAACAACAAAATAAAAACACCAAAAAGAAAACACCATGCCTTCCAGCATGTTTCATAGTGTGCCCAAACTGAGAAGAAAAGCTGATAGACAAAGGTTTTCCTCTGATCCTCTAAACCATTTTTCACCAGTCCAACTGTCCTGCATGCAGGTAAGGTGAAAAAGTTGTATACAAGGTAAACCATGAAGCAACATTGACAAATAAAATACCATTAACACAAAGAATTCACTGATAGACCGTTTTGAATCATGGGAACTGACAAATGACTTCACCACCCTGAGGTGGAGACCCATGGCTCTTGGTTTTCAGATCCAAATACGAGTTGTTAGCATGGAGATGGACACGGAAGTTGGAATCCAATGTATGTCCAAGAATCAGACTCGGCAACAGATCTACTGAAAAGTATATATCAATAAAATAGTTTTATCCTTTGAATTTTAAGTTTCTAACATTTATATACCTATAGAAAAGGGTTAAAAATTATTAGTTTTGTTGCTAGGTAACATTTTATAGGAAAATGTCATTCACTGTGCACATTTCATTAAAATCAAATAAGCTAGGGGAAAAAACAAAAAATGTTACATAGAAGTGTCCATCAAGAATCCACTGAGTATTGGAGCCCAGTGCATGCCCATCATGGACACTTCATCCATAATTCATTTAGGAAAGTCCATGCAAAGTGATTGATTGGAAAGTATCTACAAAGGTATTTTTGGAATCCCTGTGAGCAAACCATACTTTTCAAACTGATTATTTGAAGAGATTAATGCATAACAACAAATTAGAGCAATAGACATTTTCTAGATAATGATAACTCCGAGTAAAATGAAAGAGGAGAGATGCATTTTTAGTAATCTATAATAAAAATGAGGTGCCTGTGTAAGAAAATACAAGGCCCATGAGAAGACTGAAAACGAAAAATAATAAATAACAATAACTGAATATATTGAAAACGGAGTCTATCAATGGGTGTCAAGGGTAGATAAACCAAAGATACACTATGGCATCCCAAGAATGGTAAGTGGAGTGGGGTAAAAGAACCATAAAACATATAATATACACGTTAATTTCTTTGACAGTATAGAAACTAAGGTCCTGTTCGCTTTTCGGTAAGTTACTTACCCGGGTAAATGCAATTATCTGGGTAAGTTTTTCCTGGGAAACACTTGCTTGGGTAAGTGCATTTACCCATGTTCTTTTATTTCTCATGTAAATAAGGCAACCATTTTAGCCATAAAAATCTATTATTAAAAAAGGCATTTTTGTCCCATTCAAGTGTTGGCAACTTTCCCTAGGTGGGAAAGTTATTTACCCATCACTTACCCGGGTAAGTGGTACCCAGAAACCCAGAAAATAAACTTTCCTAGTCCCCACATAAATCTGAAAAAAGAACATGGGATTCTTCGTCAACCAGAACCAAAATCCCATTGAAATGGTGGCCTTCCAACATCCAAAGGAATGTCAGAATCGCTTCTACATCTTGGAACATGGAGTATAGAATTACAAGGGGGGAAATCTTAAATTAAAACTCGGGCTGTGTCCCAATTGGTCCCCACATAAATCTGAAAAAAGAACATAGGATTCTTGGTCAATCGAGAACCAAAATGGCAAAATCCATTGACCAATCCCCCCTCAAAATCCGAAAAAAGAACGCCCCTAAGGGAAAATGGTGAGCTTCCAACATCCAAAAGAATGTCAGAATCGCTTCTACATCGTGGAACATGGAGTATAGAATTACAAAGGGGGAAATCCTAAATTACAACTCGGGCTATGTTGCAATTGATAGATTACTCGTGTAGTATATCAGATTTGATTCTAAAATTGGGTCATTTGTAAGATTTTACAAGTCCTACTTCCAACACTTACCTTGCTTCCAGCTTCATCAAGTTCTCACCATTATCATTTATGTTCAATCTAAGACATTAACGGCTAGAAGAAATACCTGATAGACCTACTAAGACCGCAGCCGTGCACGAGATGCCTCCCTCCCTTGTCAATGAGATAAGAAGGAAACTCAGATCAAGTTATGTACAAAAAATACAATCCGGAAACATAAATCCCGACCCTAATAGAATGATTTCTGGTGCATACCTTTCTTACCGGTTCCGTTGATTTAGACGGCGCAGTCGTCGCTAACCATCTCCATTAATCGAAGGAATGAGATTTTCTGAGAAAGCAAACCATTCGGTTCAAATCACGAATTCTCGGTGACTAAAAAGGCTAGATAGCAGTAGCCGTTGCCTGAAGCTGAATTGCTGGCTTGTTGCTACCCCTTCACCTTCAGTCTCATATACAAAAGTTTTCGCCATCCTTCTCGCGCGCGAGCTTCCTGTTTCTGTTTCGTTTTCCCTCTCGTAAGGAAGCTCTCTTGCGGTAGTTTTGTACTTTTCCCCAATACGATAAGGCCACTTTAAAAGTTTATACCTATTGTCGGAACCGTCAGATTGGAACTCTTTATGATTGTCCTATTCAGTTCACATCTTTACTGTTTATAATCGGAATTAGCTTAGCTCAATCTTCGCTTCAGCAGCTATCCCAAACGGGCAACTTCGGGATGAAAGCATTCCCATCCTTTCCTTTCCCTTCCCAGACCAATTTCCTTAGAAACCAAACAGACCATTAAAGTAAAAGCCGCTTGTTTTGAGAATTGATGGCTGTGTTAAATGCTGTATATACCCTGTGGCGGACGTGGAGAAGTATTATTGGTTATACAGCCTCTAATACAGATAGAAAGTGCAGCCAGAGCCAATCCGGACTCGCTCGTTTTGGGCGACAGTGGGATTTGTTTCTGGGTTCTGGCGTCAGAAAAGTATATGACTGAACTGGAGACAATGGCATTTGCATAGTGGAGCTCCCAGTAGTAGACTTGTGGTAGCATAGAAGCGCGGTAATACAAGGAGAAGTTAGAGGAAAGGATGGCGTACGCAGGAGTGCTCGGTGCACCAGGAGGTCCAGGGCTGGCAGGGTTGTCGACGTCGGCCACGACAACAACAACGCGGCAGGTGAAGCTGGACAAAGAGAGCGAACTAAGGGTCGAGGTCGGCATCGAAACTCCTCTTCGTCTCCGGCTCCTCACCGGCAACGCTGAAATTTTTGGCACTGAACTTCCTCCTGAAATTTGGCTCTGCTTCCCTCCAAGGCACAAGTTTGCTGTAAGTAACCACAGATAATATTTGTGCTGCTGTGTTTTAAGAGTAGCTGGCAATTAGCTGTACTATGCAATTTATGATAGAATTGCAGAATCAAACGGTTCGATAAAGAACCGTTTTTTCTTTGAGTTATTGCAAGCAGTTTTGATACAAATAATGATGGTTGATGGTGTCGCGGAACGGGTAGTGCCCAATTATGTTTGTTGCTTGAAAAATGAGAGATTAGAAAATGTCGATGAACGTATATATTTTCGGGTTTTTTTTTTTCAAATTGGAATGCTTTAAGGGTTGGTCTACATCGACCTCCAGGTCTTGGACGAGAACTTCTTCCTTTTTCGTTCTCTGTTATCTTAATATTTGATGTGGAACTTTACGGCTTTAGTTGAAATTAGGGTAATGTTTTTTGTTGACAAAATTAGAGGTGCTATTCTGTTTAAGTTCCTAATGTACACTGCCCATTATCTATAACCATTTTACATTCAAAAGGGCACTTAATTACAAATTCAGAGATGGTATTCATATGAACACATGAATCTGAAATACCATCTTACCTGCACGAGGAAGGGTTCTGGAGAATTTTCTCGAATCAAGTCTTTAAGGTCCTTTTGCTTATTCATTCTGTTTGGCATATAAAGCTGAGTGCTCAATTTTAGCCTTCAGTTGAGGTTAAATGTTATCATTAGTAAGAATCAGAACAAATGAACTTGGGAAACACCGTTCTTCATAAGCTATACTAAATTCTCCAAGGTTTTATCCCAACTATTGGGTTTGGCTACACAAACCCGTTCTGCCATTTTGCTATTAATTATTATGTTCTTCCTGTTATTTGCAAAATGGACATGCATATTTATTAGTTAATAATGAAAAAAATAATTAAATATATTTAAGTAGTATCTGAAATAAACAAAACAGGACTTGGCGTTTTAGAAAGAGGATTCCCAGTTGTACTCATTTCCAGGTAGTGAATGTCGAAAGAAGCTTCATCAAAACATAAACCATAGAAACTCATTAAAAAAAGAAGAAAAAACATAATCATAGACTAGAATGGCCTTACATCCATCCACATTCCTAGGCCAATCCATCTTTTTGTTGTTGTAGGCAACCACCACTTAAGAGTGCATGCGTGCTTTTATTTTCCCAAGGCTACAGTTTATTGTCTCCATGCAAGCAAGGCCACCTGAAGCTTATGAAAAACAAACAAGATAAGTGTGTACCCTATAGAAATATTTATGATCTTTCTGTATGGTTTCATGGTAATCACCATTGTTCTGCTGTCCTATCTATCAGATAATCATCTGAATTGAATCTCTAATACCCCAGGCCATACTGCTATAGGTATTTATGAACGCCAGATTGTATATATAGACCAAGTAAGTTGAACATTCCATTTCTCAAATCTGTTGGGTTGGTGTCAATAATTTCAGTTACCAGTTGTCACTAGGAAACAGTCACAATTCTCCATTGATGGTAAATCAATGTGCATTTCTCTCTCTCTCTCTCTTAGCTCATGGATGATAAATCAATGTGCATTTAGTCACTTTTTTTGTTTTCTTTTCTTCCAAAATGCTGGTTGGTCCAATTTGCATTCTTACAACATGGTTTGTTGAGATTTCTCTTTCTGCATATCAAGCTTTGAACTACTTTTGGGCACATTTCCAGTACACCTTGACTGTACTCAAATTTTCTAGTAGAGTCAGCAGACATCTAGATTATATGAACTAATCTAAGACTCCTTTTGTTGTGGCTCTAGAAAATATTGTTAACTATGTAACATAACCAGTTACGAGGAGATGACTTAGTTGCTGAACCTTCATTCAGGGTTTTTATTATCATATGTTGTCTCTCGTTGATACAAGTTAAAATGTCTTATTTCAGGTTTTTACTTGGTATGGTGCCACGATTGAAATGGATGGGACCACTGAAACTGATTACACTGCAGATGAGGTATGTTCTATTATGCTCCTAAGCATTCTAACAAATTACGTTAGGCATTTGGTTCAATTCTACTAGTGAGTGTGAGTTCTCAAGTGAAAAAGGTGTGTTTTCTATTAATGATGAACGGTTCTTGATTTAGACACCTATGGTTAGCTATGTAAATGTTCATGCTGTACTGGATGGGCGACGGAATCGTGCTAAAATGTCCTCAACCACTGATCCCAATACTTCTCAGGTATCACTTTATGTTTGTCTTTGATATCTTTACCATAGGGTTTTCTTTCTTTTCTTTTCTTTTTTTTTTTGATAAAACATAGGGTTTTCTATCAGTTTACAGTTTCCTAACTCCTAACCATTGGAGTTGTTTTGGAAGTTTCATTTTGTGTAAAACAAGGGAGTTTCACCTTGTGTAAACAAACTATGCATGTAAATTTCAAAAACACACTTCAAATATGCAGGGAAAATTAAGGCATTGTTATGCAGGAGAGAAGAAGGGAGGATGAAAGAAGAGAGAGAGAAGAGAGAACTGAGAGCCAAAAGTACTGTTGGCGGCGCTAACTTTTGATATATATACTAAGGCGATAGAACATAAAAAATAAAAGGAGGAAAGTACAATAGTACCCTTGCGGTACTAAGATAAATAACAGTCTTTTAACACTCCCCCTCAAGTTGGGACATAGATGTCAATCATGCCCAACTTGTCATATAAATCATGATGCTGTGAGTGTAGAGGTAAATTGGGCCGTGCTGCCCGCGGCCCGACACGACCATGCGGGTTGTGCTGGGCTTGGGGTTTTAGGTCCACGGGCTGGCACGGCCCAGCCCGCAACCCGATCCAACACAGCCCGCGGCACGACCCATATATATATTTTATATATAATTATATAATATTATATAAATTATAATTGTATAATATATAGTATATAATATATTAATAAATAAAATAAATACTTTTTTAATTTTATTATACTAATTTATTTAATTATTGCATATATAAGCAATTTTATACACAAAATTCATATAAAATTAAAATTTTAAGTTTTTTGTCAATTTTTTTTTTAAAAAATAGCTTTGGCCCGATGCATGGCCCGACCTGGCCCAAGGCTGGCCCGTCCAGCCCGCGGCACGGCACGGGCCCGCACCCTGACACAGTCCACTTTACACCTCTACGTGAGTGGTGTAATCCTTTTGTAAAGATGTCTGCAAGTTGATCTTCAGAGCTAACATAAGGAGTACACACTTCCCCTGTGACGACTTTTTCTCTAATAAAGTGTTTGTCGACTTCGATGTGTTTAGTTCTATCATGCAACACCAGATTAGCAGCAATGTTTATGGCTGCTTTGTTATCACAGAATAGGGTCATAGGTCCGTCAACTGGAAAACCAAACTCACTCAACAAATTTTTTAGCCACATGATTTCAGTCACTCCATGAGGCATTGCCCAATATTCAGCTTCAGCACTAGATCTAGCTATCACATTTTGCTTTTTGCTTCTCCAGGTAACTAGATTACCTCCTATAAAGGTACAGTAGCCACTAGTTGACTTTCTGTCATTCAGGGATCCTGCCCAATCTGCATCAGTATACACTTCAACTTTCAAATGTTAATGTTTTTGAAACAACAAGCCTACACCTGGAAACTTCTTAAGATATCTGAGAACTCTTTTTGTTGCTTCAAGATGGGCAGTCTTAGGGGCATGCATGAATTGGCTAAGAACTCCTACTGCATAAGCTATGTCTGGTCGAGTCATAGAAAGATATAACAGTCTTCCTACAAGTCTCTGAAACAGTTTCACATCCTTGATGGGTTTACCTTGACAGTCACATGGTTTGTGGTAGGATCAATAGGGGAATCAACTGGTTTCACTCCCAATTTTCCTGTATCCTGGAGTAGATTTAAAACATACTTTCTTTAGGAAATGAAGATACCCCTTTGTGAGCGGGCCACTTCAATCCCAAGGAAGTACCTTAGAGGACCTAGATCCTTCACTTCAAACTAGGTAGCAAGAAAATTCTTCAACTTCTAAATTTCATCCTTCCAATCACCAATGATAACTATATCAACATATACTATCAGTGCTGCAATTTTCCCTTCCCCTCTTTTCACAAACAATGTGTGATCAGATTGACACTGCTTGTATCCTCTTTGTTGTACTGCTACATGGAACCTRCTKRACMARGCTCTTGGTGATTGTTTCAGCCCATATAATGATTTCTTTAACCTGCACACTTTTTGTTCATTACCTTGAGCCCAAAAACCAGGGGGTTGTACCATATATACTTCCTCTTCAAAGTCACCATTCAGAAAGGCATTCTTGATGTTAAGCTGATGAAGATCCCAGTCAAGATTAGCAGCAAGGGAGAAAAGAACTAATGGAGTTCATATTATCAACATGTGCAAATGTTTCTACATAATCTACTCCATACACTTGTGTAATCTTTGCCACTAAACGAGCTTTATACCTTTCCATGGTGCCATCAGCCTGGTGTTTAACCGTGAAAACCCATTTACATCCAACTGGATCATTCCCCTCAGGAAAATCTACTAGTTCCCATGTGCCATTTTTATGTAAAGCATTAATTTCTTCCTTCATAGCATCTGTCCATTCAGGTACCAAAAGAGCTTCCGCCACATTCTTAGGGATAGGGACACTGTCATGGAAGAGAGAAAGGTCCGAAAGGAGGGTGGAATGTTTTCATAGGAAACAAAGTGGGAAATGGGGTGTTTAGTGGTGCAAGATTTAACACATTTCCGATGAGCAATAGGAAGGTCAAGGTCATTAGCAACAGAAGTATCAATGGCAATAGGGTCAGGAACATCAACAGGAACCAATGTACCTGAATGGGTATGATCCACTCCCGGAGAGTCTGATGGCATTGGTGGTACAATTTCTAGGTGTCCCACAGCTTTTAAACACGGTTGGCCTTTGTGACGACGAAAGAAGACACGAAAGGGAGGAGGACCAGGAAGATGAGGGAGTTGAACTAGTTTCTCCTCATTCCTACACTCCCCCTGAGGAGAAACAGGGAAGAAAGGCTCACTCTCAAAAAAGGAGACATCCATAGAGACGTAAAATTTCCGAGAAACGGGATCAAAGCACCGATATCCCTTCTGAGTGAAGGAGTACCCCAAGAAGATGCAAGGAATGGCACGAGGATCTAATTTTCCACGAGTGGGTGACAGATTTTGAACAAAACAATGACAACCAAACACACGAGGAGGAATAGAAAGAAGGGGGGCCTTAGGAAAAAGAAGCTGATGTGGGGCTTTGCACTCTAACCAACGAGTGGGCATGCGGTTGATGAGATAGGTAGCACAAAGGACAGCCTCAAGCCAAAAGCGTTTCGGGACATTCATATGAAATAGTAACCCCCAGGCCACTTCAAGAAAGTGTCGGTTCTTTCTTTCAACAACACCATTTTGTTGTGGTGTCTGGGCACAAGAGCTACGGTGAAGTGAGCCACGAGAAGCAAAAAATTCCGTAAGATCACTATGAAAATATTCTTTGGCATTGTTCGATTGAAAATTTTGGATTTCAGTTTGAAATTGGGTGAAGATCATCCGCTGAAAATCTTGGATAATTTTAGGTACTTCATCCCTGGTTTGCATGGGATATACCCATGTATATCTGGAGTAATCATCGATAAGGGTAAGAAAATACTTGTAGCCACTCTCAGATGGTAAAGTAACAGGGCMCCAAACATCAGAATGAACAATGTGGAAAGGAAATTCAGATTTATTATTCTTTGAAGAGAAATGAGTTCTACACTGCTTACTCAATTGACAAGTTTGACAAGTAAATTCTGACACTGATACTGACTTAAACAACTCTGGAAACACAATTTTTAAATACTCAAAAGATAAATGACCAAGACGACTATGCCATAAGTAAACTTGACTATTACAAGACTGACTCTTAGACTCTATGACTTGAAGACCAGTCTTATTCTCCAGCATGTAAAGCCCATCCACCATACATCCTCTAACAATCATCTTCCTCGAGGCCAGATCCTAGATCACACAATGAGAAGGGAAAAAGGTCATTGAGCAGTTTAAGGAATTAGTAATACTACTAACAGAGAACAAATTAATGGGAAATTTTGGGACATGTAAAACATTAGATAGGGTAAGGCCAAAGGGAAGAGAAATAGTTCCTTGACTAGCTATGGTAGAGTATGATCCATCAGTTAGTCTTACCTTGTCTCTTCTAGAAAGGAGGTGATAGGTTTGAAAGTAAGAGGACTTACCAGTCATGTGTTTAGACGCTCCAGAATCAATGATCCAAGGAGAGTCAGGGGAATGATATGCTACATGGAAAGCTGTGGCAGAGTTACCTGATGTAGACACAAATGAAATTGAGGGAGGAGCATCCATTGTTAGGAACCTGCCTAACTCAGGGCTCTTCGAGGGGCCAACCTCCTGAATTCTTGGAAGGAGAGAGAGAGAGAGTTTAATGCTGAAAGAGTCCTCCTCTATTCCTTTTCTGCTCTACTACTTATAGTGTTRCAATCTTGACTGTTACAGCTGTTACAAGTGGATGGCAGTTATTACAAGTGGCTGGTTAGTTGAGCTGATGTGGTCTCCTCTTGTAAAACTGACTAATTGCCTTATGTTGGTCTGTTCCAACAGTCTTGACAATCCAATTGGATGGCAGTTGTTACAAGTGGATGGCGATTATTACAAGTGGCTGGTTAGTTGAGCTGATGTGGCTTCCTCTTGTAAAACTGACTAACTGCCTTCTGTTGGTCTGTTCCAACAGTCTTGACAATCCCCCCTTCCTTTAGAGTGACCTTGCCCTCAAGGTCTAATGTAGGAAAGTTTGATTGCAGATCTAAGTAGGATTCCCAGGTTGCATCCTCTTCCGGAAGGTTAGACCAAACAACTAATGCTTCTGGTATCACTCTGCCACCCCAACGCACCCATCTGAAATCAATGATGCGGACTGGCTCAGTCTGCACTTGTCCTTCTGAAAATATGGGAAGGGTCGTACTTGTAATGACTCCTGACTTCGGCCCTTTCTTTAGTAAGGAGATATGGAATACAGGGTGCAGTTTGGATGTTGCCGGAAGGTCCAGTTTGTAGGCCACTAATCCTACTCTCTCCAGGATTTTAAATGGGCCAAAATAGAGCGGGCTGAGTTTGTTCCACTGTCGGCTTGCAACTGAAATCTGCCTAAAAGGTTGTAATTTGAGAAATACCCAATCACCTACTTCATATTGGACATTCTTGTGGTGT